AAACCCTGTCTCTAATAAAAATACAAAAATTATCTGGGCATGGTGGCATATGCCTGTAGTCCCAGCTACTCCGGAAGCTGAGGCAGGAGAATCGCTTGAACCTGGGAGGTGGAGGTTGCAGGGAGCCGAGATCACACCACTGAACTGCACCTTAGGCAACAGAGTGAGACTTCATCTCAAAAACAAAAACAAAAATCAGTATTTTTTTTTCTAATGTATTTTCTCATCTAAATATGATGTTTACAAAAGTATAATTTTCATAACTACATTAAAAAGGTTTTCATATATGAATAACAGATTAAATAATATTATATAAGAAGAGTTTGAGATAATTTGTTTTGTGCAAAAAAATTTTACTCACAAGACAGTAATTATACTTGGAAGAGTTAATCTGAAGAGATCTAAAGTACAAAAATCTTAGACTAAGTTGAGTTCTCCCCCTAGTGGAACCTGAAAATGATTTAAGATATTTCCATGACTAAGAAAATAACCTAAAATATATTACTTTGATAACTGAAAAAAAGTTTCAGGTTTTAATGAAAGATCTATTTATGAATCTTAATTCTTAATTTGCATTAAAATATATCTATATCCATCTATATATATGCATATAATTAAATATTGAAACCTTAATATCTAAGATGTATTCAGTAACACATCTACTGAAAACCCATTTACTAAGCAAATTAACAGCAAGTTAGCCAAGGAGCACTCAGTCTTAAGACCTGAAAGAGAAACAGAAATACTTCAAAAGTAGAGGAGTAGGAAGTTCAGAAAAACACAGCAATTTAGGCAGATAGAGCAGCATGCAGAATAGCACAGAATTTGGAAAGAATGTGAAAGTTGCAGGAATAAGATAATTCACAATAGGTAGAGCACAGCATGTATCTGTGGGGGATGAGGATGGGAAGATAATGGTGATAGATGAAGCTAGAAATTCAGTTTGGGCAATAATAAAAAGGATTTTATGCTAAGGAGTTTTGATGTGACTTGGTATTTTAAAGTCAGTCAATAAAATTTCTGTGTTTTAGAGAGACAGCTTTTGTAACTGCAGAAGAGCTGAAGCTGGAGAAAAGGAAATTGGATGGGAGGTTACAACAACAGCTCAGGTAAGGGGTAAGCAGATGAACTAACGGAGTGGTAGGGAGAAGAGAAATGCTACTGAAGACTCAAAAAAAAGTTCGAAAAATGATTCAAATTACCTTTCATTTAGTTTAATACTTAAGACTTTCTATTTTGAAAGACTGAAGAGTTGAGCAGCAATACACTTTAACCTGTATGAACTCTTGAAAGACGTAAGATTTTAAATATAATATTTTGTCCATAGGGAAAACTTATTACTTTTATCATGTTATACAAGAAGAAGTAAAGCATAAGAAGTGACAAAACACAATTTTATTTTAAAAACATTTTTTTAGAGACAAGGTCTCACTCTGTCACTCAGACTGGAGTGCAGTGGCTTGATCATAGCTCACTGTAATGTGGAACTCCTACTTCTGAAGGGATCGTTCCACCTCGGCCTTCCAAGTAGCAAGGGCTATAGGGTGTACCATCATGCACTCAGCTAATTTTTAAAAATTGTTTTGTAGAGACAGGGTCTCATTATATTGCCCAGGCTTGTCTTGCCCTCCACCGATCCCGCAATCCTGGCCTCTTAAAGCACTGGGATTACAGGTGTGAGCTACTGTGCCCTGTCAAAACATGTAGTTTTGATAATATGGAAATATGATAAATTTTCACTAAAAAATGGACTTGGAACACAGTCAACACCACCAAAAAAAAAAAAGGAAAAAACAAACAAACAAAACTCAACCCCAGGTAAGTTGATTCAGCAAAATTCAAAACTTTCATGCAAAAGACACTATCAACAGAGAAAAGGCAACAAACATAATGGAAGAAGATATTTGCAAATCACAGATCTGATAAGAAAATGATATTGAGAATATACAACTCCTATAACTCAACAACAAAAACAACAAACAACCTGATTCAATTAAGCAAAGGACCTGAGTAGCCATTTCTCCAAAAAAGATACATAAATGCAAAATAAGCACGTGAAAATATGCCCAAAATGGTGAATCATTAGGAAATCAAAACCACAATGAGATACCAGGTCATACCCATTAGGATGGTAATTATAAAAACAACAACAACAACAAAATTAACAGGTATTGGTGAGAATGTGGAAAAGATCAAATCCTCAGGCACTGCTGGTAGAAATGTAAAATGGTATAGGTTCTGTGGAAAATGGTATAGCAGTTTCTTAGAAAATTAAACAACTACTATATGATCCAACAATCTCACTTCTATGTACTCAAATAAAAGCAGGGACTGAACAGAAATTTGTACACCTGTGTTCATGGCAGCATTATTCACAATAGCTGAAACAAGGAAGCACTCTAAATGTCCATCAATGAATGAACAGATAAAAAATGTGGTATATTATTCAGCTTTAAAAATCAAGAAAATTTGGACATATACTACAACATGAATGAACATTGAGAACATCAAACTAAGTGAAATAAGCCAGTCACAAAAGGAAAAATACAGTCACACATCTCTTAACGATGGAGGTTAGTTCTGAGAAATGCATCGTTATGCAGTTTCATCATGCTAACATCACAAAGTGCACTTACACAAACTTACATGGTATAGCTTACTGTATACCTAGTCTATATGGTATAGCCTATTGCTCCTAGACTACAAACCTGCACAGCATGTTACTGCACTGGGTACTGTAGGCAATTGTAACACAATGGTCAGTATTTGCATACCTAAACATAGAAAAGGCACAGGGAAAGTATGTTATAAAAGATAAAAATAGTATATCTGTATAGAGCACTTATCAAGAATGAAGCTTGCAGGACTAGAAGTTGCTTTAGGTGAGTCAGTGAGTAGTGAATGAATGTGAAGTCCTAGGACATACATTACTGTAGACTTTATAAACACTATGTGCTTAGGCTACAAAAAATTATTAAAAACGGCTTATCAGCCGGGCACAGTGGCTCACGCCTGTAATCCCAGCACTTTGGGAGGCCGAGGTGGGCAGATCAGGAGGTCAAGAGATCGACACCATCCTGGCCAACATGGTAAAACCCCGTCTCTACTAAAAATACAAAAATTAGCTGGGTGTGGTGGCGCACGCCTGTAGTCCCAGCTACACGGGAGGCCGAGGCAGGAGAATTGCTTGAACCTGGGCAGAGATTGCAGTGAGCCGAGATTGTGCCACTGCACTCCAGGCCTGGTGCCTGGTAACAGAGCGAGAGTCTCAAAAAAAAAAAAAAAAAAAAAAAGGTTTCTCGGCTGGACGTAGTGGCTCACACCTGTAATCCAAGCACTTTGTTTGGAGGCCAAGATGAGTGGATCACCTGAGATTGGGAGTTCAAGAACAGCCTGACCAACATGGTGAAACCCCCATCTTAAAAAAAAAAAAAAAGGTTTCTCTTTCAATAAAAGAGTAAACTTTAGCTTACTGTAACATTTTTATAAAATTTTTATTTATAAACTGAGTATTTTGTAAACTTTACTCTTTTATAACATTTAGCTTAGAACACAAACATACTGTAGAGCTATACAAAATATTTTTTATATCTTTATTCTGTAAGCTTTTTTCTATTTTTAATTTTAGTTTTATTTTTTAATGAATGTATTTTTTGAAACAAGGTCTCACTCTGTGGCCCAGACTGGAGTGCGGTGGCGTGATCACAGCTTACTGATCTGGAGTAAGCCATTGCACCTGATGAACAAAAAATTTTGTAAGTTAAAAAAAAACATTAACGCTGGGTGAGGTGGCTCACACTTGTAACCCCAACACTGCGGGAGGCTGAGGTAGGTAGATCATTTGAGGCCAGGAATTCGAAAGCAGCCTGGCCAACAAAGTGAAACCCCATTGCTACTAACTAACTAACTAAGCAAGCAAGCAAGCAAGCAAGGTGGGTGTGGTGGTGTGTGCCTGTAGTCCCCGGTACTGGGGAAGCTGATGAGGACTGTTTGAGCCAGGAGCTGGATCTGTAGTGAGCTATGACTGTGCCACTAAACTCCAGCCTGGACAACAGAGTGAGATCCTGTCTCAATAAATAAATAAATAAATAAAACATCTGTGTTAAAAACTAAGACACAAACATACATATTAGCTTAGGCCTACACAGGGTCAGCATCACCAATATCACTATCTTCACCCTCCACATCTTGTCCCGCTGGAAGGTCCTCAGGCCAATAACACACATGAAGCTGTCATCTTCTATGAAAACAATGCCTTCCGGAAAACCTCCTGAAGGATCTGAGACTGTCTTACAGTTAACTCTTTTTATATAAGTAGAAGTATACTCTAAAATAACAATAATAGTATAGCAAAACAACAAATGGTAAATATATGAACCAGTAACATAGTCATTTATTATTATTATATACTATACACAACTATATGTGCTATACTTTTATAAGAGTGGCAGTCCAGTGGGTTTGTTTATACCAGCCTCATCACAAACACATGAGTAATGTGTTGTACGATAACATAATGATGGCTACAGTTACTAGGCAACAGCAATTTTTCAGGTCCGTTATCATCCTATGGGACCATCATCATTTATGCTCCTTATGCAGCATATGACTGTATTGTATGATTCCACTTACATAAGGTAACCAGAGTGGTCAAATTTATAGAGACAACATAGAATGGTGGTTGCCAGTTGCTAGGGGAGGAAGGGAGTGGGAAGTTAGTATTTAATAAGCATAGAGGTTCAGTGAGAGAAGTTCAGTTATGGACATGGATGATGGTGATGCCTGCACAACAATGTCAAATATACATAATGCCACGGAACTATATACTTTTAAATGGTAAGTTTTATGTCTATTTTACCACAATAAAAAAAATGAAGTTGGAAATAAGTAAGTGTTGAAAAAGAATCACAGTCATGAGGATAAAGAGTAAGTTGCTGTTCAGACAAAGAGGATAGAAGAATCTATATTTTTACATGTACTTTATTATTTTCATATGGTACCTGGATTTCAAGCTCAGCAATGTGTTGTTGTAGTTCAGCCACGGCAGCTATGCTGTCTGCTTCCCGGAGCCTCACAGCCATCACTTCTTCCTTGTTCTAGTGCAGCAAACGAAACCAAAACAAAATAAACCAGGTGTGTTTGGAATTCAGATTTTTCATACTTTAGAAAAGTAATAGGTCACATAAACCATACATTAGTATAATCCAGCAGGGTATATAAGGCAGCACCTATAATGAAACAATATACTTAATATATACAATGAAGCAGTGAGATATAAATGTTCACATCAAGTAGAATAAATAAAAATTATAAATGACCATATATCAATTCAAATTAAGTTTTGCCTCCAAAGGAATTTGTGTGAAATTTATGAAAAAACTCTAGGGTTTTAGAGGGTTTTGCATTTTGAAACTGGGGTTCACAGGCCTGTAATATTTCGTCTTTAAGTGAGAACATTCAAATTCAGTTGTAGAGGGAAAACAACATTAAAATTATAAACAATATCCACACATCTTACACAAATAAAAAATAAAAAGCTTTAATAATTATAAATTAGTCATAAGCTATAATCTTATATTAAATGAAAATGAATCAGATTTATTTCAATGACTGGCTTTTTGAAAAATTAACTTTGTTTCTGAATCATTCCAACACAACAAGGTAAAATATATACATTTAATCAGAATGTACTAGGTGCATTCTGCATAACAATACATTGGTCATTCTCAAAATCTGCAAAAAGCATTACAAAAGACTGAATAAATTAACACAAAGTTTAAACACGGGGAAATAACAGAGTCTGCACCTATAACATACTTCACAGAGGTATTAATGAACAATTAAAAACTAAATAAAATCCCATATTAGTTTGTAAAATCCTTTAATATTCTGAATCTGAGCCCATTACTTAGATAAGTTCAAAGAAAATTGTTTTCAAAAGCAAGCTCCTCAAAGATTTATTTCCAAAGAACATTTTACTGTGCTCAACAGGTACTATGGCATTTGAAGAGCATTATTAAATCTAGTAACACAGTTATCAAAATATGTTTAAGGAAAACTAACACCAATAATACATAAAAGACTGAATTTAGTTCTCTGTAAGGTGTCAGCACAGGCCTGGCGCGGTGGCTCAAGCCTGTAATCCCAGCACTTTGGGAGGCCGAGGCGGGTGGATCACGAGGTCAACAGATCGAGACCATCCTGGTCAACGTGGTGAAACCCCGTCTCTACTAAAAATACAAAAAATTAGCTGGGCATGGTGGCGCGTGCCTGTAATCCCAGCTACTCAGGAGGCTGAGGCAGGAGAATTGCTTGAACCCAGGAGGCAGAGGTTGCGGTGAGCCGAGATCGCGTCATTGCACTCCAGCCTGGGTAACAAGAGTGAAACTCTGTCTCAAAAAAAAAAAAAAAAAAAAAAGATGTCAGCACAGACAATTTAGCATAATAAAAACTCAGATATTGGTATGACAAATCAGATTGATACCTCATTTAATATTTTATTTATAAACTAGTTTAATATCCTTCAAAAGTGACTATGCTTTGCACAAATTTCAGTACTGCCTAGAGATTTCTGTCAGTATAAATTGTAACAGTCATGCATATTTATAAGGATGTAATTTCATCTCTGGATTTCAGTGACACTGATAAACCACTCAAGCTTCACTCTTGGTTTTTAATGACACCCCAATAAGTTGATGGAATTACAGCTTTATATGTGCCATCTAAAGTCTTATTTCTTATACAATAATAAGGCTGGAATCTTTAAAGGGCATCATTCCTACTATCTCACCATGGAAATGTAGATGCCTAGTTTATTTTTTTAAATCCCATAACTTGCCTTTAGTAATCCATCCTAATTCCTAGTCTATAGTCATCTCTTTAGTTATTTCACACACACACACACACACACACACACACACACTCTCTCTCTCTCTCTCTCTCTCTCTCTCCCCCCTCCCTCCCTCCCTCGCCCCAAACCCTCCCCACTCTTCTTCCATCTCATTGCCTTTCCCTATGCTCTCACCACTGCTATACTTTAAATTTACTTTACGAAAGAATGTACTTGCATTCTTTTTGATGCTTTTTGAATCCAAACACTTCACAAAAAAGCCAAAGTATTTAACTGATTAAAATAATAATGGGTAACATAATGCATTTTTCCCAACCCACTGGTACACAAACATTTCACTTGCTCTCCAGTCTATCCAGAAAACATCCAGAAAACATATGTCAATGTTAATTGCCCACTAATAAGATGCCAATCAAAGCAGAGGAGCCCTAACCTCTGTAAATGACCGATATTTTTTTGATCAAGCCAATAAAACCTCTGGTGTTAAAGTTACCAGTCAAAAGAAAAAGTGTAAAGAGATACTATTAAATGCCAATGCAGGAAATTAAATTAACCAAGGAAGTGACAGAAAAGGTTTCTTGACTGAAATCCACTACAGAAGCAAGATGAGCTAACCTGGTTTGAAAGCAACTACCAAAACAAGTTCAAAATAAGTAGAAAACAGGACTAGCCTTTTTGTTTTGTTTTTAAGATAATCTAATCATGATGAGACAAACCCAAAAAAGGCATTATTATATTATTATATATTGACAAAAAACCAAAATCAGTTAATTGACATATTTACCTTGCATTCAATCTCTGCTTGTTTGCGCTTTGCTTCACTTAATTGAGTAAGGAGTCCTTTGTTCTGTGCAGAAAGATACTGCACTTTCTCCTGTAGGCGAACCACCTCTTGTTCTGCTCTTCGAAGCTGGTTACTATTGATCTGGTTCTAATAATCAGAAATATAAATACTCAAAGACTATAGATACAAGACCTGAAAATTTAACAAAAAATACCTATCCATTTTACACCACTATAGTATTATTTAAAATGTTATTAGTTATAGGTCAATGTTATTCAACAAATCAACATTAAAAAAATAAGATACAAAACTGCTTTTAAAATGAAGTCATCCAAAGGAATGCATAATATCAATATTAAAAACTAATTATACCTCAATATACCATTTATATAAAAAATAGCTGTAAAGTATTAAAATGCTTACATACAACTTGAAGGTGTTCCTTTCTAAGATTGGCAATGGGAGTACAAAGTGGATAGATACAGGAATGGTGAATTTCAATCCTCTTTCCAGTTCCAGAAAGAAAGTACAAACCAGTCAAAAAGGTACCATCAGGCCTGGTGCAGTGGCTCATGCTTGCAATCCCAGCATTCTGGGAGGTCAAAATGGGCAGATCACTTGTGGCCGGAAGTTTGAGACTAGCTTGACCAACATGGTAAAACCCTGTCTCTACTAAAAATACAAAAATTAGCTGGGGATGCTGGTGCACATCTGCAATCCCAACTATTTGGGAGGCTGAGGCACAAGAATCACTGGAACCCAGGAGGTAGAGGTTGCAGCGAGCCAAGATTGTGCTACTGCATTCCAGCCTGGGTGACAGCAAGACTCTGTCTCAAAGAAAAAAAAAAAAAAAGACCCCATCATTATTTATTGGGCTGTAAACTTGATGTCACAAAATATGGCATATGTGTACCTCTACGTGCTCTCAATGTCCAGCACAGTGTTATTTCATGAAGAACAGATTTTGAATTCTGGTTTTAATATTTGGTCATTAAGCAAACAAGCTAGTATCTCTGTCTCTGTTTCTTTATTTGAAAAATGTATACAAAATACTTTCTCATTTTGGTGTCTTCAGAATTAAATGAGATAATATGTGTAACAGGGCCTAATATGCAGCAACAAATGCTAGTTGTTGATTGCATTATAATTATAAAAAGCGCTAAAAAACATACAGATCTTGAACTAACTTGAGGTAATTTTCACACTCATGTATGACCGAGACTGCATTCTCTCAACCCTAAATTATTCTATCAGAGGCCTGAAAGAAACAGTAGGACTTTCACAACCAAAAGACGTAAAAGTCTAAGTTCTCATTTAACAGTTCTTAAAGCTTGGCCAAGTTAATCCTACCAAATTTCAATGGACATAGTACTACTTGCCCTTTGAGGCTATGTTGTGAAGATCAGATACTCTAGGAGAAAAGTTTATGAAACAAGTCTCACACAATGCGTTCAGATTTTATTATTATTATTATTATTATTGTATTTTTGAGATGGAGTCTCGCTTTGTTGCCCAGGCTGGAGTGTAGTGGCATGATGTTGGCTCACTACAACCTCTGCCCTCCTGGGTTCAAGTGATTCTCCTGCCTCAGCCTTCCAAGTAGCTGGGATTAAAGGCACCCACCACCATGCCCTGCTAATTTTTGTACTTTTAGTAGAGACGGAGTTTCACCACGTTGGCCAGGCTGGTATGGAACTCCTGACCTCAAGTGATCTACCCACCTAGGCCTCCCAAAGTGCTTAGAGATTACAGGCGTGAGCCACCGCACCAGGGAAATTTTTGACACTTAATAAATTTTCAGTTGTTACCATTATTGTTCCTATTTTATCTCACCCTATGAAAAAGACCCTGCCTCCAGTTTGAATGAAAAAATTTAGATCATCTAATAGATGTAAGCTGTAAAACTTTCAACTATTTAAAACTTGCTTCATCTTTACTTTTACTTATCTTCCTGTAACACATACTCTGGTCTTTCTCATTTTCAATCTCTCTCTCTCTCTCTTTTTTTTTTTTTTTTAGATAGGGTCTTAGAGGGGCTTGTTCTATGGCCCAGGATGGAGTGCAAAGGCACAATCACAGCTCACGTGCAGCCTCAATCTCCCAGTTCTCCTGCCTTGATCTCCTGAATAGCTGGGACCATAGGCACACGCCGCCATACCCAGATATTTTTTTTTTATTTTTAGTAGAGATGAGGTCTTGCTATGTTGCTCAGGCCATTCTTGAACTCCTGAGCTCAAGCGATCCTCCCATCTTGGTCTCCCAAAATCCTGCGAACACAGGAATGAGCCACTGCACCTGGTTTCTTTCTCATTTTGAATCAACAAATAAGTCTGTCTACAAAATTAAGTAAACTTCTTAGTATTGTATTCAAAATGTATCGCAGTCTCTTTTTACTGTCTTACCTGCTACCATTAAAACAAATAACTACACTTCAGAGGGACACATCTTTGACATAAGCTGCAAATAATTTCCACAGATAAAACTCCCTCCCTGCATCCCTGAACACAAGACCATAATTCAGCATTACAAAATATACATAAAATCCAAGAACTACCATGAGTGAGAGACAGCAGACAGAAAAAAATATATTTTAAGAGCTTGAGAGATAATAAATTATAGAACTTTTTATAACAGTTTATGCCTAAAATTACAGTATTAATGACATAAAAGGAAGATGCCAAAACATAAGCCAAGAAGCCAAGAACAAGTCACTATCAAAAACATTAAGCAAATCAGAAAAATAACTAAAGAAAATTTCTATACATATAGCCACTGATATTAAAAATTCAATGAATGGATTAGATTGGAGATTAATGCACTGAAGATATAATCAGTGTCCTAGAAGAAGTCATTTGACACAGAAAATAGAATAAGGTCCAAAATATACCTAATAGAGGTTACAGGATAAAATAGAAAAAAAAAAGTGAGATATGATGGTCTAAGAGATGGTAATATTTGAGAATGTTTTACAATTTAAGAAATAGAAGATATGAATCTACAGTTCAGGAAACACAACTAGTTGCAACCAGGATAAATACAAACAAATCTCCGCCAAAATATACTGTAACAAAACTTAGAATGCTACAGAGGCAAATCAAGGGGAAAACTGAAATCTATAAAGGAAGGATAATAAAATGTCTAGCAGATATTTCAACAGCAAAAATTTGTAGTGCTTAAAAAAAAAAACTTCACCCTATAGTAGTATACTGTCCTATACTATCACACAAGGGAGAAAAGTAATTTTAAGAAAGTGACAGATTTACAACGCAGGTTGGAAATTAGAAACTGTCAAATATAAGAGTAGAGAGCAGCCTGTAATCCCAGCTACTTGGGAGGCTGGGGCAGAACTGTTTGAGGTCAGGAGCTTGAAGCTGTAGTGAGATATGATGGAGCCTGTGAAGAGCCACCACACTTAAGCCTGGGCAAAACAGTGAGACTCTATTAAAAAAACAAAAACTAAACTAAACTAAATAAAAAAAAAAGAACTCAGAGCAACAATAATTGGTTAACAGGAACAAATCCAGATAAGCTCTGAATCCATAAAATAATAATAATATCTAGTAGTTCAGAGGTATTAAAAAATGTACAATAACTTGTAAGTCAGAAGAACACATAAAGTTCTTTACAGGCCCTTATAAATGTTTGGAAGGGATACAGAGTTGAAGACTAACTTTAGACTTTGTTCAGCCAGGTAAGCACTTCCAATTTTTTTCAGGTACTAAATACTAACAGGAAACAAAAGGAATTATAACAGTCAAACTGAAAGTGAAAGAAAAAACTAAATTAATCCAATAAAGAAGAGGAAAGGAAGAACAAACATAGGAGCAAAAAAGAAAGAAACCAAAAGTACAAAATAAAACTATCACAAATACATCATAATCAGAAGTTTTGATTTGTGATTTGGGATGAAGAGCTCAAAGTACTACTCTTCCCACCCTTCCAGTGAAAAAAGGGAAGGCCGGGCATGGTGGCTCACATCTGTAATCTCAGCACTTTGGGAGGCCAAGGCGGGCAGATCACGAGGTCAGGAATTCGAGGCCAGCCCGAATACGATGAAACCCCGCCTCCAATAAAAATACAAAAATTAGCAGGGAGTGGTGGCATGCACCCGTAGTCCCAGATACTTGGGCAGCTGAGGTAGAAGAATCTCTTGAACCCGGGAGGTGGAGGTTGCAGTGAGCCAAAATGAAGGAAACAAAGAAAGCTAGCCAAACTCTATGGGAGCCTTCTAAGAGAGATAGGATGAGATTTAAGCACTTTCTCACCAAGGGCACAAACATCCACAAGCTAAGAATGATTCAGCTAGAGTAAATATCAAACTGGTGGAAGCTAAGTATTGGCTGGCTAGACAGTGTGGAGGCTCAGGAGGCAGCAGACTTAAAGTTTAAGTTCACAAACTCTTGTACCCCAACAGGGACATACAAGAAAGACTGGCAAGAGTCTTGAGAAAGAAATTTCATGGTACAGGACTCAGGAAGGGGAATACCAGCCACTATAGGAAGGAACTAAACCTTGCGTGGGGAACATATGCTTTAATCTGTGTGGATTTGGGGCCAAGAAACACTGCTGTCTTTGAGGCACTGATGAAAGCCATTGCATCTGGGGAAAGGGGCAGAACTGTTTTGTGCTTAGGACCATATCTAAGGGTGGGCAGGAGCACTAAAAGACCAAATGCACCCGATCAAAGGACATAATGAAGCCTATGACTGAATTTATTTATTTATTTATTTAATTTAGAAACAGGATCTTCCTTTGTGGCTTAGGCTGGAGTGCAGTGGTGCGATCACAGTTCACTGCAGCCTCAAACTGCTGGGCTCAAGCAACCCTCCCATGTTGGCCTCTCAAGTAGCTGGGACTACAGGCACATACCTCTATATCTGGCTAATTTAAGACATTTTTTTATATGAGACAGGTCTCACTAGGTTGTCCAGGCTGGTCTCAAACTCCTGGCCTCAAGTGATACTCTTGCCTGGGCTTCCCTAAGTGTTGGGGATCATGGCATTAGCCACTGTGCCTGGCTAAGACTGAGGCTTTATCAGAACAACAGAAAACACCGTTGCCCCCCCCCAACTCTTTTATAACAAGTAACAAATGGAATACTGCTAAAGACAGATCCTTCTGAAATGTTATGCAAAGGGAAGACCTAA